TGCAGAAGGTCCAGCTGCCAAAGGTTCCAGGGGAGTACACCACAACCGTGTCAGGGTCAGGATGTGTGTACCTCCAGGTGAGACCCTGGGATTTAGGATATGCTGCAAATGGGAGAGAAAGTCTCAAGAGCTATATTTGAACTTCAGAACAAGAAAAAGAAATGTGTGTTAAGGGAAGGCATGAATCATCTGGAACAGATTATGAGACAATTTGAGTGCAAAAAATGAAGGATTTTTTTTCATTTGTTTTAGACATCCCTGAGATATAACATCCTACCCAAGGAAAAAGAGAAAGAACCCTTTGCTCTGCAGGTTAATACTCTCCCCACGAATTGTGATGGAGTGGATGCTCGCAGAAAGTTCCAGATTCACATCAACATTAGGTAACTTCTAGATCATGACCAGACCTCTTGCACCAACCTAACAGAATATGGAAAAATTGATTTTCTTATGTGGGGAAACTCCACTATCCAAAGCCACAGATAATGAATGTGGAATTCTTGCAGTGTTTATTAACAAGAAAATTTTCTGGAAAAGCCTTCACATTAAGAATATGATATTACAATATCTGACAAGTGTGAGCTTAAAGTGATGGTTTTTCCAAACAACCATAACAGAAACAGATACAGCAGATGTAGTAACTTAGTGGTAGAAATAAAAGGCAAAGGGAGAGTTTGTCTTGAATGAATCCCAAAAACTTTTGTTTGAATCCCTCATTCCTATGCTTTGATTTTATAGTTATACTGGGGACCGACCCAGCTCCAACATGGTCATTGTTGATGTGAAGATGGTATCAGGCTTCATTCCTATAAAACAATCAGTTAAACAGGTAATCCCTGGATCCCTTGCAAATAGTAAAGTCATGGTAAATGCTGGCATTTATCGTTGTCAATTTGACTTTATTGATGGACTTTTCAAGAGGTGTTTTCCCTCAAAATTGCTTCTCTAGTAGGCATCTCTATCATTTTAATAGGGTGTCTTGGTTACATGGTGTCAAGTATAGGGCATAAGTCAGAAACACGATAAATAATGTTCCAACAGGCCCAAGACACCTAGTTATGTGGAATGGGATTGAATTATTTTCCAGATATATATAAGAAGAGGAAAGGATACATGTGTGTATACATGCATGTATATATCACATATGTATCTGCATATATACTTATAGCATATATAGAGAATAAAAGATCGATAAGTATTACTATTGTTATTATCATTATTATTCTTGAAGAAATCAAAATTATCCGTCTGGATGCTCCGAGAAGCTGTGTAGATCGTAAATACCTGAAAACTGCTGCCAGTATGAAATTTTCTCATTCCGTATTTCTGACTTATCGTCTTGATCAACAGCTCCAGACACAGCCCCAGATCCAGAGGACTGAAGTGAGCACCAACCACGTCCTCATCTACTTTGAAAAGGTAAGACGTTCCGTGACTCTGCTAGATCTGGAATAACAACAACTAGAGGTTCTAACAAACCATAACAGATCCAAATAGTGCCGTTCACATACACAGGTGAGAGAGGACAAAGTGGCTGTAAAAAGAAATGAAGCTTGGACTGTCAGCAGGCTTGATTTATTACATTTGGCTGTCCACAAAATTGTCTCTTTTGTCCTTTTTTAAATCTATCATTGAATATGTTATGCAGGTCACAGAATTCTGCATTCTTTTCACAGGTTTTGGTGCAGATGTATAGCATAACTACAGGGTTTGATAATTTCTTATGAAGAGAGGACAGTAATTAGATACTAAGTTAATCTTTGATTCCAATGGTTTTCCTGTCTCTCCAGCTAACCAGTCAAAACCGGCATTTTTCCTTCTTGGTTGAACAAGATATCCAAGTAAAGAATTTAAAACCAGCTGTAGTAAAAGCCTATGATTATTATGAGACAGGTGAGTGAGATTCGGACATGCTGAGCTTTGAAATGAAAAACAAACAAACAAACTACTAAACTAGTAAAGGATTACCTTAACTAATGCAAAACTTCACAAT